GTTGACTGATGTAGATCAACCTGTATATTCAGTGTCATAATTCCTGTCGATATCAATTTATCCTCACAAAATATACTGTTTCTTAATACGTCAAGAGCACACATTACCAATGTATTATTCATCATTACAGTTGCTACATTTTGAGAATGTACGAGAATGGTATATCAAAAGATATTGTTTGCACAATTGAGTTTTCTTAAGCTGAACTATCGATACACACTACTCACCTATGTGCCATATCGAGAATTTCCAGGACGGGATCTGTAATCGGTTGAACTGAATTCGCTGAAACGTTCAGAACCGCTCCGGCTGATGCAACTGAATAAAATATAACTTTATGCCGTTCTCGTTCACAAATATTAACAATCCAACTGTCAAGCAAATAAAAATAATACAGTTCATAAGGCAATAAACTGACAGTGATTATAAGTAAATGGTACTGATAAGTATGGTGATATAGCATTACAATAAATCATTTTGGAATTACAACTTAACAAGCAAAATGAGGCAGTGAGAAGGCATACCGCGAAGATGTCGTTCCAAAGCTAGTCGTCGTTCATTTTCAATTGAATCTGAACGAACGATTTGATGCAAATTCGGAAGTCGAACAGAATTCGAACAAGACGATGAGGATGTTGATTCTATTGACGAATCTGAATTCAGCGTGACCGTAGCGTCAAAAATTTCGAGTTAATTATGAGTGCTTTTATCAGTTGCTCTTTAGCAGTAACAAATGATCGACCGACAAGCTTCCATTCAAAGTTTAGTTGATAGTAATGAAAAAAAAACGAAAAGTAAAGCTGAAAACAACTTTGCCAAGCGATTGCTTTTGCTGCACGATTTATAGTGGTAAGACGGGGTAATGAAACACTTGAGATGAGCTCATTCCGAGACAATTCTGTGGCAGCCGTGGTGATTCGTGCTTCTTGAGCACTATTCGCTAGAAATTTAAAATCGCATTTTCAGATAAAATTTCCATTAATCCAATCAAATTTTCAAAATTTCAATGAAAAGCTCAATTTTCTTTCTATCGAATTGCCGGTTTGCTATCTTTTTGACCTGAAAATGTTTCCAGCATTTACGAAAAATTAATGAACAAATAAACCTTTCCGTGGTTTATCGATGCCAAACGCTCGAAGTGGAAGCAGTGACTTTGCATCGGACTGTGAGCGTTGGAAACGATTCGCTTTGATGAGTCTCGATGAAATTCGTGGCTCAGTATTTTTAGAGTTTTTTGAAGTTGACGTATCATTCCTGAAAGTTTCACTTCTCAATTTGATTCCATCTACTCTAAGTCCTAGAATATTACTGTCATACATAGTCGTAAACATTTATTGAAAATCGATGGCCATTAAATACTTGAAACTATAGTTGCAACTACAAAGGGAAAATTCCACTGAAGTTCCATAAGATATTGGAATTCCCTTTTATCGCTCGAAAATTTTAGAAGAATTTCTCCATACCGTTGTCTGCGATCTGATTTTGACGCGACCGTTTTCGAGGTTGTCGAAATGGAGCGAAGTACGCCATCGAGATGTAGCATGATTCGTTCGGTGATCAAGCTCGATATACCTACTATATCGGATCGTTTGCGATGATCCTTCTCCAGACATGCATTTATCATGCGTCTCAGTTCACTACAAAAGAAACTCCCAGAAAATACCAGTTACTCTCATGTTCTTACGGAACTCAATGCGATGACTTTGGTGTTTTTTAGAAAATATTTTCGTTAGCTGAAACGAATATGACAAAAATCTTCCTGAAATGGCCTTCTGAATTCGAAATGCTAAACTCATATCAAAGTTGCTTTTAAAAATGCCCGAAAGACCCACGAATATTCACTGTTTCGTAGTAATGCTCGAAGAAATGATCATCTGAAAACGTACGGAGAATAATTTTGATCGACCATTTCGTATCGGCCTTCAACGATGGTGGTTGCGAGACGCAGCACGTTATGCGAGAAGAACGCTGGCTTCAGGTTGCACATCTCATACACACAACATCCGAATGACCAAACGTCTGCTTTATCCGAATACGGCTCATTTTGAACAATTTCTGGACTGCAATTGACGAATATGGCTGCTTGAAAATTCCAGAAAGCACTTCCAATGACCAAAAAGAATTACTGTAAAAGCTAGCGAAGGAATTCGATGCGAGAAAATGATCATAAGGAGATAAAAATCACTAATTGTAAGCGATTCCTAAGCGATGAGGGTTATAAAATATCATACCAACTGTATACGATTGTGCCAGCCGCCGATTTCAGGTAGTCTGCACCCTTTTCTTTAGCCAATCCAAAATCAGCTGTAAATTGTCAATTTACTGGGCCACGCAAATTTGCTTTCCTGATACCATGAAGGAGTTTGAAAACAGATGGAAACGATGTAGAAGTGAAGAAATTTTCACTGAATCAGAAATATTCTCTATCATTTTGAGGAAATAAGAAGGGAACATGCTGCATGAAAACATACTGATGACAACATGATCATTATCGGCGAGCATTATATTGTTTGGTTTGAGATCACGATGCACGATGCGTTTTTCTTTATGTAAATACCTGAGCGCGAGTACTAACTGAAATCAGAAATATAGCCAAATGGACACTTTAAATGAACTAAAACATAGAAAATGTGTGATTTTGGAGCCACAGAAAACTTGAAGGAACGATGAATGGAATGAGTAAAGCCGGATGAATGAATCAAAATCGCTCGATCATTTTTATGACTTAATGTTAGTTAGGCACTTAAGAGGAACTCGAAGATAACCTGTATAACGATGTTCCATATTCTGGCCTCAGTGAACGTTTCGTTCTTCTCTTTAACTGAATTAATGTGATCTCTCAACGATGCCCCTTCCACCAGGTCCATAACAATATACAACTTGTGGTTCTCGACAAAGACACGACGATATCGAAC